TCCTCTTCGATTCGAGTGATTCGCGTGCGTCCGAAAGAAGTGCTGGAGGGTGCGAAGGAACCCGACAAGAAACGGGTGATTGTCACCATTCCCGATGAGAGCACCTCGTCTGTCATCGACTACCTGGAACAGAGATATCCAGAAGTTCCGGAATGGTCGGTGCAGAGAGAGGCACGCGAGGAAGGAGTCGAAGGGGAGTGTAAATCGATCCTGAAAAAGAGGAGAAAGAAGCCTTGGTGGAAGAAGATTTTCTTCTTCTGGAAGAAATAAATCTCCGCGGTCTTCTTACCGGATGTGACTTTTCCACCGATCGTGACTTTTTCTACCCGGATGTGACTTTTATTCCCGATTGTGACATTTTTACCCGGATGTGGACTTTTACCTGGCTTTGACCTAATGACCGGATGTGACTTTTAATGGCGGTTTGGCGTCTTCCCTTTCCTGCTGGATATTTTTGGGAATGATACATGTCCTTCGTCATCGCTTACGAGGGACGTGTTCTTCCACTTCAGTTAATTAAAGTCGACGGTGACAACTTAGCACCGTCTTCGGTCGTTTGAAATCTCTCAACTGACGATGAAATTCTGACCGGAAAATAATGGATTTTCGCCAGCAACGTGCGAGTCAACACTGGACACCCGAATAAAAACAAACGGGAAATATCGCAGTTAGCATTTGTCTAAGCCACAATTATAATTATGTCGAACAATCAAATGTGTATATAAACTTTTACTTAATAAAACTTTTAAACTTTATATTAATTGACTACGTGTATCAGTTTAAATATTATATCCGCACGTTTTATTTTTGGACTAATTTATAATTAAAGTTGAAATAATCTTTCTAACAATTAAACCGAAAGTCAAAGCAGAAGAAAATGTACACGATTCACAACGAAAGAAAAAATATAAAAATAAAACAAGTAAAAGTAATTTTAAAAACTTGCGAATTTGTATCGATACAAAAGAAAGAAATAAAATGCTATAAAACAGAGATTATTAATATGAACTGTGCCTCCGCGAGTACTTTGTTAACAATAATTCTCTAACTTAATATCAACTTAATAGCAGAAAAATTCTCAATAAATGAAATTACAAAGACATCCGTCTTTGTAATTTTATTTGTTGAGGATTTTTCTGGTGTACTGTACGATCATCTGCCACTGTGTAATGCATCTGCCACTCGTTACTGTGCCGTACAATGTAGAATACAGCCGAATACAGAATAAGGTTAAAAATTGCAGCAGATTTTCTTACATATGTTTAGAGCAAATGAGAGTTGGAACGAGGTTTAACAAATTCAAACGCACGTCATCCTATAAAAAGTAAACTCAGGTAAATTCAAGTTTTTACTTATTAGAACTAGGATCGGAATGAAATTAAAGCTTAACCGCACGACCATCTTGCCGTCTACCAATGATGGGCTTTAAAAAGCCATCTTAGTCACTACAGGATGGAGAGAGTAAAATAAAGAAGAAAGCTTTCTTTGAGGCAATTGTATTTAATTTTTATTAATGATTATATTTGAGCCGTGTATTCGAAGAAAGATCCAACTCCACAAGTTTCTTTTTGAAAAATAAAACTTTTTACATTCTAAGAATTAGACTAATTACTTAAACATTTTCATATTTATGATCGACGTATACATGTATAACACACTCATTTTTAAAAGCAAGAAAAAATAATTGATAATGGAAATTTTGGGCCTGTTTTGGAATCCGACACTAGCACATAAGTTCAAAATAGATACATATAATGCACTGATCAAAACAATTAGCGGAGCACGTGACCGCTCTAATCGAGGATTGACAAAGAACATCATCGATTCGATCCCATATTACACAGATGTGCAGCAGTTTTGGATCATACAACCGGCTAAAGTCAGCACAATACCCTGTATTTACTAGCAATTTAACCTTGCTGCAAAGTATGTCTTAAGATTAGGAGAAATTATTTTAACTAGATTAAAAATCTCCTATGATGTATAAATGTTTTTAGCTGAAATCCTACTGAAGTCAGTACTTTACCTTAAAAGTTGGTTATTGATAAGTCATGTGATTTTCATAGACAGCACAACTTTTCATCGTTTATCTGTATTTTATTTATTTAAAGTAAACGACACTATGGCCATTGGCCTTTTCCAACTGTAAAAAATACATATACAAAACACAAACAATCAACAAAGAAAGAACAAAAAAAAACAAAAACANTAAAACACAAACAATCAACAAAGAAAGAAAAAAAAACGCAATTTTTAACAACTTTTTAAAATTGTTCCTAAGTTCTCAAATCTTTATAATATTTAACAACTGAAAATAAAGATGTAAATTTACACATACACCAAGCAATTTTTTACCATATCTTAAATTTATTTAATTTAAAACATATGCTCTCAATCTCAAATTAGTAATGTACTGCCTCGCCCCCGTACATCATACTTTTCCTGTTAGCAATAGATTCGGGCCTGTCCTCTATTTAACTTTTTTCAAGAAAAAGGAAAGATTTAACAATATTAAAAAACTACGACCGGATGGCCGAGCGCTCAAGGTTGTAGCTTACCGCTCTGGGGGACCCAGGATTGAATTTGGAAGGGTTGAAAAATCACCAGGAAGTTTTCGGGGGTGGTCCGTCCGCATATGTCGGGCCCTGTCCCTCACCACCCGGCCGCCCCATTGTGGGTCTGGTCGAATCCATAATGTGCTTGCTAAAAAAATAGGCCCTATTAGTGCCTACAATGCTGAAAGAGTTAAAAAAAAGTCTCTTGTATAAGTTTAGCCACTCTACTGATGAATCTTTCTTTAGCATTTTAGTTTTCAAAATGAGTATTTTTGATTTTAGGGTTTGTACTTAAAGCCAGCATAACGGAATTCTCTATTTTTCCGAAATATGTTTTTTAAATGCATGCAACTTATTTTTTCTGAAGAATAAGTGTTTTTTCTGTTTTTTTTTTCAGTATTAAAAAAGTTGGTTAATGATCTTTTAAATAAAATCCTAGAAGCTTCTTCAAAATATATTTTTTCATTAAATTCATTAAAAATATCTTAATATAAATAATTCTAAACCTAAGTCAAATCACTATTTCAAATGACGCAATAAACTTCGACGGCCGAATGGCCGGGTGATCGAAGTGACAGCCTACCGCTCTGGGGAACCCGGGAATTGAATTAGAACGGGTGAAAAAATCACCAGGAATTTTTTGGATGTGGGCCACCCGGCCACTCCATTATGGGCATGGCCGAATCCATAAAGGGTTTTCTAAAAGACGTCCTCTCAGAGCAGAAAAAGTTTTAAAAAAATGACGCAATAATGTATAATGTAAAATCTGCGTGAATATAGTATCGAATTATTATATTATTTATTATAAGGTAAATTAGTTTTAAAAAAATAAATATTTTAAAATTGCATTTAACAAAAACGAAAAAAATAGTTTTCATTTAAAATGAGTTGTTTACAATATTCGTCTGCTGTTGCTACGTAATTGTGAAATATTTGTGCATAAGTTGATTGGATCGGAAGTAATTGTAATGAAAGGTAAGGCTGGTGTTGTTTTAATCATTTTTAAATTGTTTATTTATAATAAATGTATCGCTAATAAAATGCCAATTCTTTTGATAACATACATAGAATAGTGTGTTATCTCTATATTTATTATATAAAATATAGAGTTGTAAAGTGAATTTTTTTACATTATTTTCAAATCAAAACATTACTAAATTGAATAAGACATTGTTAAATTGTGTTAATTCTTATAAATTTATTACGTTTTCTTTCAGGTTTTGAAATAATGATTTTTGTAGGGGGAAAATTTAGTATTAAATTGTGTGTATTTTTATAAATTGTTTAAATCATGAAAACAATGACTGATCAGAATTCCAGTTTTACATTGTAAATAGCTGTATGGGCCATCCATTAGGAGTATAGTTTTTCAACTGTTTGATCCCTTCTTTCCTTGTTTACAGTGATGCATTTTTGTCATTCGCTTTCCTCTTTGGCCCACCGGTGTCCAAGAGGTTCCGAATCTGAACACTGGGAGTTCGGTCGTGGGTTTGCGCCGCACTCGGATGGGCTGGCCATGTGGAGTTTTCCAGGTTTTCTCCACGTCTGTAATGCCTAAATAGGGGCCAGTTTTCCTTAAAAGGCATTCCTTCTAGGCAGATCATCCAAGTGTTGCATTGCCATATCTTAACAAACAAACAAACTGTCCTCTTTACTTGCATATACAATAAATAGTTTGTACATTTCTCTGACATTGAAAAAAATGACTTAAATAATAAGTTTTGCAAATATTTTCTACCTGACAGTCGATTCATATGACTAAATTTAAAAGAAAAAAATTTGTATTCCATTAATATCGCTAAAAATGTCATGTAAACAATTTATTGATCCCCTTCCTGTTGTGTATAATGGTGTATTTTTTGTCACCTTTCACTCTCCCTTAAACTGTATGTGTAACGTGATGGCTCCACATAACAGAAATAGCGAGATATAAAAATTTCAGCTGAATGATTAGAAGAGTTTTATTCTTGTAGCAATCTAAGAATAAATGAGTTTCATTTTCTATTTTCCATAAGTTATATGACATGAAGATATGGTTGAATGTTGGAGAATATTTGAACAATCAAAAATTTACAGAATTCTATATTAACAGACAGACTCTATTCACCTTTTCATACTTGTACAAAAGCAATGCTTGGGAAATTGAAATACAATAGATAATAGCATAGAAATTAAAGCCTAAAACTAAATGTTGTATACTATCAGTAAAGCAAAATTAAAATTTTAATGTTTTAATCTTTAAAAATATTTTAAGAAACTTTTAGCTACAGTTGCCTTCCATATTTGCAGATTTTACATCTGTGGTTTAAACCAATTGTGAAACAAAAAATTCTAGAAAGTTTTAAAAAACAAAACTTGAATTTGCTTGTATTTTGAATATTTTGTGTTTTATTTTATGTATTCCTCTTTCAAGACATACAAAAGTAATTTGTGAATGTTAAAGAAAGAAAATGTTATGCTGTCACTGATATGTACAGTACTATGCATAGTAGTTAGGTCTATGATAGTTTTATCTGTACTGAACTATACAGAACATTTTTTTCTTATCGTTATTCCCTAAACAATACATTATAACAACTTTTTACATAGAATTTGCATTATATTAGGTATTATAAATAATCCAGAGATGATTTAAAGTATATGGGAGAATATGTGTTGGTTATAAGCAAACACTGAGATTAAAAAGCATCTGCAGATTTTAGTATCTGTAGGGGTGTTAGAATCAGTCCTCATGGATACTGAGGGACAACTATATTTACTCATTTTGAAAAGAATATGAAAAAATAGAACATAAATGATTTTCAAAATTAAATATATTAACACTTACATATATTTTGAATCCTATTATCAAATTTAGAGTCATGGTAGTGACATGCTGAATGAAAAAGCACTGACTGACTATAAATATATATATAGGAATCAGAGT